TGTTTGAGAGAGAAAAGCTTGGTACTATATGAAAGAAAATACCATCATATTTCTCCATCTATTCAGCCTGGAGAAGAGAAGGCTCTAGCAAGACCTTATAGCAGCCTTTCAGTATCTGAAGGGGCCTACACAAAAGCTGGGGAGGGGCTTTTTACAAGCGTGTGTAGCAATAGGACAAGGGGTAAAGGTTTTAAATTGAAAGAGCGTAGGTTTAGGTTAGACAACAGGAAGAAATTCTTCACCCTGAGGGTAGTAACACATTGGAATAGGTTGCCTAGGGAAGTTGTGGAAGCGCTCTCCCTACGGGTGTTTAAGGCCAGGTTAGATGAGGCTTTGCGCAGCCTGGTCGTGTGAGGTGTCCCTGCTCATAGCAGTGAGGCTAGAACCTGATAATCTTTAAGGTCCCTTCCAACCCTAACCATTCTATGACTCTATGATTATTAGTTCTATTTAGAAACCTAAAAAATCACATTCCACGCTGGAAAGTGCAAGAAAGACAGAAAATCCTAGCGTAACTACCCCAAATCCAGAAACAGTATGTTAGTTTTCATATATTTAGTTTCAGGATTCTGTTTTCTGTGAAACCAGTTAACTGTGGATTAATTATTGCAAACATTTCCTTCTGTAAAGCATTACCAGAAGGAAATCCAGACTCTGAAAAAGCCTCAATAAATTATGACAGTTAAAGGGTTTACCATGCTTCCTCAGTGAACTCACTCATTTTAACTTCCTGGCAAAGCAAGGCATTAGCTGAGTAGGGAAGAGGCATCAGAAAACAACCTAGAGAATTTAGTACCAACCTTCTGAAATATGACAGGATAGAAGATGTTCAGAGTTAAAAGTAGTTCTCCCTCCTCAACTAGATTTGCTGGATTGTCTGGCCTCTTTCCAACTGCATGTGACTCCTGGAAAAATAAAGATACATATATATGTACATATTGTACACATACAATACTGGCAACCATTTATGTATCGTAGTCCCTGGATAAATGAGAAACACTGTTCTGACTGTAACTTGGTTTTGACTGTGTAGCCTTCTGAATTGCTAACAGCCTACTTCCTCCAAGATGGAGAGGTAAGAAACTGCTGTAATTACCAGTTTCAAGCATTTTCCTTCATTTCTTAGCTCTGGAGAAGCTGAAGTGCTTTCAGCCATTACAAGATAGCTGCTGTTTCTTGGCTACTGAGAGGCCCTACATAAAAGAATTAAAGCCTGCTGCCACTCTGCCTTCATGGAACCCAGCTGCTTCTAACTTCTATAATTTAATATTTTGAAATGTTCTTCGAATGCTTTCACATGTAAAGAGGGACTCCAACCCTCAACTTGAGAAAGACTGACCCAGAAACTAGCCATGGGATGAAGTCACTATGAGAAAAGATGGACTTTGGAATAATCTCCTCAAGGAAGTGATGGATTCCCCAACACTGGACACTTTTAAGACTCAGCTTGACAAGGTGCTGGGCTGTCCTGGTTTGAGCCAGGATGAAGCCAATTTTTCTTTTTACTGATTTTTTTTTTCCTTCAGTAAGCTTTCTTGTAGCTAGCAACAGTGTGTTCTGCTAGGCTGATAAGACAGTGGAATGTTTTTCTAACTACTGAGGCTTCAAGGCTGCACCTGCACTCTGCCAGCTCAGACACTATGGGGAGATCTGTGACCCCCCCCGTAGGAGGCTGAGTTAGATGGACAGCAAAATTGGCCAAAGATATTCCATTCCATATATCTACGTAAGCTCAGAGGAAGGTCAGAGATCACAGAAGACAACTTCCTCCCTTGATCTCTCGTGACCCCCATAACTCTCTGCTTTCTCCAGCAGCAGCTCCGGGATTCCTCGGGACTCTTCCCAGTTCAGGGAAGTGCTGTGGGAGTTGCTGGGGTGGGGGGAGGCGAGAGGCTTTTGCCCATTCCTGAACATATCTGTACATAATTGTATATATTTTCTTGTATAATTCATTAGTGTTTTAATTAAAGCTGTGTAGTTTAGTTTTCAATCCAGCCAAGTCTCTCTCTTTTTCTCTCTCTCCTTCCCTACCTGGGTTGGGGGGAGGGGGGATCGAGAGCATTGTTGTAGGACCTAAGTCATCACATCTAAACCTTGTTCCTACCTAGGAAGGTTGGACCAGATGATCCTTGAGGTCCCTTCCAACTTGGCATTCTATGATTCTGTGATCCTACTTTCAGATATATCCCAGGTGACAGAATGAGGGAGGGCAATTTTCTGTGGCAGTTTCCTCCTTTTTAAACAAATTGAGAGAGAGTACTTACTGCACAAACCGTTCTTCAGATGTAATAACAGCAACATGTACTGCTGTGACACTTCAGTCCAGAGATACTTGTCCTTTACCCCTTGTATCTCCCTTCTTCATGCAACACATTCCAAACTCACATTTGTTTTTGCTCTCATCCTGTTGTTGGACACCAAGGTCCCAATCAGCTGACACACAAACCAGTTAAAACAGCTTATTCGAAGGATGCAGTAACTCATTCTTCAGAAACAGAAATAAGACACCACTCACTGAAACCTTTTATAAAGATTTCTTTTGCACAGAGTTTCTCAGATATGCCCTAGGCTAGAAGTCCCAACGTAGTTGCTGCACCTCAGCTGATGCATGATGTGCCTGGGACCCTGAACAGTTGAAACAAGATCACTCATGACAGACTAGAAAATGCCAACGGATAAAAAATGTTTACTACTCACAAGTGAGGCCTCTTCCTCACTACACCTCTATCCCTAACGCAGTAGTTGACTTCCTTGTTCTAACTGTGGACTCCAGCACTACCAAATTTAAGAACTTCAGTTTTCTTGTTTATGACTTGAATGGTTGTTAACAAATCTCAAATTAAACAAAAAAAAAAAAAAAAAAGAGGTACTAAGCATAGTTAAAAGAATTCCAAGATGGCTTTTGAGGAGCTAATCATTACACTCCTGGTTCCTAACAGCTCAGAATGGCCGAGAAACTCAAAATTAGGAACTTACTGACACCACTACTGTCTTGCTCTTTCAGCCCTACAGAAACTAGCTCACTATCATTTACACATGTTCTGGTTTGGTTTGGTGGGAGTTTTGGTAGTGGGGAAGGGATCCAGGACTCACTCCTTTAATCAGCTGAGAAGCTCCACCTGCTCCAAAACCAGCCAAGGAGCCATTACAGGGACAACAGATGCCCCATGTCAATAACACACAAAAAAAATGAGGTAAGACCTGGGCAGAGCAAGCACTTAAAGAGTGAGCTAGAAAGGCAGAGCAGTGCTGGTGGTTGGTGAGGAAGAAGGGGAAAAGGGTGCCCGAGCAGAAGTTTCCCTGCAACCCATGGCGAGATGGCAGCTGTGCCCCTGCACTCATAGAGGAGCATGGTGGAGTGCCAGGAAGTGTGATCTTGGCCAGTGGACTCGGATTTTGGGGCCAGTGGACTCTGATTATGCAGCTGTGGAATACCCCAATGCAAGGGGAGTTGGCTGTTCCCAGAGCAGGCCATGACTCTGTGGGAAGCCCACACTGGAGCAGCTTGCTCTGGACCTTGTGGGAAGGACTCATGAAGGAGTCACGGGAGAGACTCCGTGGGGAAGCAGGGAAAGACTGCAAGGAATCCTTCTTCCTGAGGAGGAAGGAGCGGCAGGAACCAGCAGCCTGTGAACTGACTCTAAACCCCATCCCCTGTCCCCCTGTGCTGCTGGGGAGAAGGAGGGAGAGAAACCAGGAACAAAAGGATTTGGGCCCGGGAAGAAGGGAGGGGTGGGGTAACATACGCAAGCCCTGCTCTGTGTGTTGTCTGTGTCCTGTGTGTGTGTGATTAGTGTGAAATTAAATTATTATTTTTTCCCCAAGTTGAGTCTGTTTTGCCCGGGACCTTAATCGGTGAAGAATCCTCCTTGTCCTTTGTCTCAACCCATGAGGAGGGCTTTGTCCTCCCCATCCCAGACTGTGTGTGTGTGGGGGGAAGTTGAACGAGTGGCCATGTAGCTGTTTCTTTGTTTTCGTGTTAGGCCCAAACCACAACAACACATTCAAGCTTAGACTCCAGTAACAGGTCCCTTTAGCAAAAACATTACACATTTTGTCTAGCTCTACAATAAGTTCACATGATGCTCAGTGTACCTGACATCCTACACATTACTTTAGTAGCAACTACATAAAGAGAGTCCTATGGTGATAATGAGCTACTACATTCAGTAGTAACAGACTGCAAGAACAAAGTTCCTGCTCTTTCTATAATCTTTCTTTAATCTTAATCATTACCTGTAAACTCATACCTGCATACATTTACCACATACAGAGATTGATTGTTTATGGAAAACAAAAAGCAACATGAAGCTGTATTTTGGATGTGCTAAACTTTCTTTAGATCCTATAAGAAGAAAGAGTACTTACCATCTCATAAGCAAGAGTTTCTTGCCTGCAAGCCCGATCCACAATAATTGTTTCTTCTCTCCTCTCTAATGCCTTCTTTCTAATTCTGAAGGGCAGGAACACAGGACAAGGTTTCATTCAACAACTTTCATGCAGAACCTCTAAGTGTATTTTTAAACAACATAAAGCTTACTACTAAACATACTACTAAACTACTAAAACATACTACTGTCCAGCTTTTGAAGAGCAGGATTTCTGGCTGTCTTAGCATAACAGACTAACAATACTCTTGCCTCCTGACTCAAATAAAACCATATAGTACACAAGTCAGGCTGTGGATTTCAGCTTGTGTCTTTTCTCTCCTCTTACGTACAAATTACAGATAAATTTGGGGCAGTTTTACATTTATGAGAAAAAACAACAAAATGTTGTCTGAAGAGGCTCTTCTAGAAAGAACACTTTGCTATCTTTGAGGAAGACGTCTCAATAATCCCTCTCACTTCAGAGGCATTCAGTTCATGGCGAAGCAAGAAACAAGAAAAAAAAACCCACAAATATTCTCAACTGCATCACATGAACAGTTTCCTAAAAAAAAAATAAAAAAATCAGTGTAATTTCTAGAGGTATCATAGATAGAATATCTAATAAAATACATGTATTTAGCCACTGCATGAACACCAATTCCTTTTTTACTTCCAGAATAAGTCTATTTACCCCCTAGCCTTTCATGATGGCTTTCAGTAACAACCAAACTTAACACTAACCATGACCTCAACACATTTCTTTACATTAGTACTATGCAAACTGAAATTCAAGTACAGCACAGGTCTGAAATGGCCAAGTACGAGGTTAAAGTTCACGAACTGTTAGAAACTTATCATGCATTGCTCAGCCTCTGAAACGCACCTCAAGTATCAATAAATTCTGTAGAGTGTGTTCAGATAAAGTGGTATCTGGCTACAACTTTCACTTTGTTTTTTACAATGTGATTGTGGGTTACCAGAGGCAGGAGCTACAGATTTATTTTACCAGGCTTTGGAGAAACCTGCGGTACATGTTTTCAAGAAGTCCCCTGCCCTCTTCAAATCAGGCCCTAGTTCAGTAGTACTGAAGTCCAGGAATCCTAAGTTCTTCCAATAAGAAAGATGGCATAATGTATAATTCTTAACTAAAAAAACCCGAGTACATGCTGGAGTATTTCCGCACACTGCTTAAGAAAGCACACCTGTTGCCTGGAAAGGGAAGAAGCAGCCAGCCATGCTTTTGTGATTGTTTCCTACCTCACCCCATAGGAGGGTACTGTGAATGTACCATAACAACATACCTCAAAGTGAACAGACTGCTATCTTCAGGAATAACATCTGGGTCCTTTTCTTCATCAGGGGAGAGTAACATATCAATGCTAGGACAATAAAGAAAGTAACCATTATACATTTTTTCATACTTCCTTCATAATGAAAATCAATTAAGCCGTTACTAAAGGGAACAAAAGCACAATGTAAATTACCAATATATAGCTTGTAATAAACAATGTATACCTTCTAAATCAGGGTACATGGACAGTATGGTTGTTGGAATAAAGAACCAGAAGACAAAGAGTCTTCGAGTGGCTTTCACAAAGATTGGGTAAATGTTATCTTTATTTTGCCATCTGCCTAATGGAGCATAGTGGTCCAGAGAGGCTTAACAAGCCCCATTCAAAATGTGTGTCAAATACTTTTTATAAACTAAAAATGCAACTTGCCTTTTTCAAATGTCATGTACCTATTCCTGAGTTTCTGATGATACATGAAAAACAGACACAACCAAAAGAAATTAGCTGTACCGTACAGGTTGAGGTTGCTAACACATCCCCCCTCAGGTTCTAACATGGGCAAGCCACCACATTTACACAAGCTGTTATTGCTGTATTAAGGCATTAATTTATGCCACATTTCTTCCAGTGGGAGTAAGACAATACTTCTGCCACAAGTGACAGATCCACTCTTCCTTCTATCCCTCTTAACATCCTCAGAGACTTTCTACCCTCACTCTTCTTGCATTTGCACAGAATCCAAAATATAGCTAACCATGTTTTTTTCTGCAGAGCAAATCACTGCAGGATGTGGGATGGAAAAGTGGAAATGCTTCTGGATGCAGCAATGATTTTAAGTGATCATACAAGTGTTACATTTTCATAACATAAATGAGGACAAAATTCCCATAAACATCCTGCCAAAAAAATTGATCCTGTGGGTATACCGCATATTTGCTCCTGCCACAGTTTTATAACATAAGGTTCCCTGTGTCAGTCCACAAACAGAACAAATGACCCATCTGGAGGCTTCAGATTAGACACCAATAAGCATAAATTACCTTAGAAACATACAGAATAATGCTGACCCAAATACAGTAACAACTTTGTATTAATCAGTCTAGTAATTCATTGTATACGACATTGTATCACATGCACTGAAGCCTGGAAAGGTTTTGCTATATATATATTTGCTATATACACACACCAGGTTGAAGCTCCTCCTGGGGAACTCCAATGCAGGCAGTGGAACCACATTGATAATATTTAGTCCATGGTCCTGAGGAAAACAGGCTTTACAAATGGAAAGTGTATGCTAATCCCTCTAGAAATTAAGGTCAAGTACTCAGTGTCATACACCTAACAGATGAAAGTGCAGGCAATACAAAGTTTTCCCTGGGCACGCCTCACTCCTGACAACCACAAGCAAGGGATTCCACCATGTCCCCACACAGAATATTCCCTGCAAGCAAGAAAAATACATTCAGTGCACTCAGTTACAGTAGAGGAGAAAGCACTGTCTGTACTGTTAAATGGACTTGAGGTGAACTGTAGGAGAACAACAAAGAACAACAGTTGAAGTTCTCACTTGAAAAAAGCATGTGCAGTGTTGCATGAAATTGATGTCCCCTAGGAAGTTCGTTTAAGGTGACTAGAAAGAAAAAGGCCAAAGGCAAACCTGGGAATTCACACACAGAAATAGACTATTACTGAAGTCTTTAATAACTGTGACTTTACTGTTCACAGAATATTCTGGCAGCACAATGAGTCTTCTCAGTTTTAGAAATTAGAAGATACTTTAGTATTTTTCCTGACATTTTCATATTAAGCAGATATAGTGTTTATATTACTCTTTATATTGCATATATTTTAAGGGCAGTACTTTCATCACCTTTGAGACACTAATACTGCAAGACGATAAATACTAATACATTAAGACTCTAATGCTAGCTTAATGCAGCTTTATAACACATCCCTAGAGATATTTACAGCTACGCCTTCTAATAAAACAAGAAGGTGAACTAGGGCTGAAGTGGAATAAGGTACCTGCAAGCCTCAACTCTCTTGACCTACCTAAAATCCAGTTTGATTCGAGTCTTAGACTATCCTACATGCGCACAATAAATCCCTAAGAAACCAAACCAGAATAACGTAACTTAGCAACTCAAACACTTCAATTGCTCAGATACCAGTAATGACTCCCAAGACAAACCTATTTACTCACAGGCTGCTAAGGCATTTGGACAAAACTTAAAATTTTACCCTCTTACCTTGGTTATTTAAGAAAACTATGGACAGAATTTCCTAGCTAAGGACAACACTTATACCTGTTTAAAATCTGATTAAAACCCAAGCAATTCTGCCAACAATTGTCTCCATACAACCTGAGCAGTAAGCAAAGCATGCTCACTGAGTCAAATTCAAGTCAGTGAGTATAGAATTTTTTTTCCTGTGTTCTGTTTTCAGAAATGTATTAGAGGAAGAAAACCGCGAAAAAAAAATAACCACAATACACTGAGATGCACAAAAACAGAATACCTTTTCTACTCACCAGAAAATGCTAAATTGTCAGGAATACTTAAACATACACTATGCCACTGTATTATAAAAAAGATTCAACTGCTGATACTGAAAAAAGCCTTCATCTTGAGTCTATAAAAGACTGCTTTAACCTACTGCTATTTTAAAAATAGATAAAGGACGAGTAGCCACATCTTCCTATCTCTCTTCTACACAACGAAAACTTGCCAAAAGTTCCCTTACTTACAAGTAGTTCCATCAAAAAAAATCAGTTCATAATCCTGTTTATATCTAGGATGTGTTCACCTGAGCACCTAGAAAATCATATTTACACCAATAATATATTTTACCCTAGAACACTATAAAATAGATCTTGGTGTAGTCCAGTGTTTTCACCCCTTCTGGACAGAGGAATACAAACAGCTCAGAGCAGGCAAGCGAAAGTGATCAGAGGTAGCAACTCCAGGTTGGCCAATGTTAAGGAGAGACTCAAGAGGTTAGGACTACTTGATTTAAAAGCAAAAGCACATGGAGATTAGGGATTGGGATTTCCTGCCCGCACAGGGGAAAGGTCACACCAGGATGTGCAGGTTTATCTTCATTCTCCTGCAAAGCCAAAAGCAGCTGCCAGATGATCTGTTCCCTCACCATCATAAACAGCCTGTCCTTTTTTTCTTTCCCCAACCTTTCACTACACAGCACCACTTTCCAGTCCACTTGGCAGCAAACAGACAGCACTGCTCTGTAACAGCAGCACACATAGCAGATTAAAATGCAGCAGTCAGAGACTGACGAAAGCAGAGAAGAAGCAGAAGCGGAATGAAGGAAGGGAAAAATAAACAAAGTATAGAAAATCTGCTTGGAATTCAAGTGAAAAATAGCACAGATAGGCTTAAGCAACAGGGTCACTTCAGAGACGAATCCACAGCATAAGAGCAACTGGAGACTATGTCTGCACTGGGAAAGCTTACAGAGCAATTCCCACAGTTGCTGCCACATCAAAATACACTCATTATATTTAATAACAACATCAGCCTCTATTTTTACTGAGGCTAGTAACAGTGGCTTACTGAGCTCTCGCTGTTACACACAACACTCATGCAGGTATATTTTGGGTCAGACACTGAACTCCAAGCTCCTGGGCTCCTATTCCTGTTCTCTGTTTTGTGCTTTTTACTAAAGCTACAAATATTCCTACCCATCTTCCTCAGAGGCACCACTGTCATTTAAGCAATTAATAATTATTAAACAAACTTTGTCCAGTTTTTGCAGTTATCTTCATAACTTGGAGCAATACTCTGAAAACACTGAGGACATGCTTGCAGTTTTTGTAAAAATACATCTGGCATGCAGGGCTCTGGAAGAAAAGCTATCAAGAAGAGCATAATACATAGTGCAATTCTAGCTGCATTTACTGAACTATGCCTTCTCCACGAATCACCGCCTGAAATCAGCCCTTTCCTCAGGTGAGAGGTGATTCTCACTATTCACGTGACCCGAAAACCTTCCAGCTTTAGGATGTGAGATCCCACTGCTTCACCCCTAGATTATTTTCTTCGTTCAACACCAGCTTGCAATTCACTAGTCTACAAAGGCGACTGGTTGTTACAAGTGCAAAATAAGAGATTAATTTTATTATTGTTTTTCCCCAGTGCCACAGAGACTGCCTGGGCAAACAGCACTAGCTCCACACCCAGTAAGCACTTGCCCAGCTGTGAGGCCACCACCAGCCCCACCAGAAAGGGGAAGCAGAGGCCAAGGACCCAGACAAGCTCAACAATTAACGTATATTACCAGGTACCAGAGCTCATCTAAATGATGGTAACAGAAACAGATGCCTGCTTCTCTTTCTTCATATAAGGTATACCTTTCATTCTGAGGCCTCCTAAAACCACGTGCATGTCCACATACCTTAAGTTTTAACTAAGGAGGAGTATGTTCCTAAGCATTCACGTAAGTAACTTGTTAAAGTGCTGAAGTGCTTTGTCGGTGAGATCCCGACCACGACACAGCGTTGCTGCCAGTGCCGTTTTCCTTCTCCACTGCACGTACGGCCAGGAGATCAAACAGCCCGCGGGGCACAGACCGGCCCAAAGGGCTCAGAAGCGGCTTCGCCCGCACCCCCGCGCCCAGCCAGGCCGCCC